CCTGTCTCGAAAAAAAAAAAAATGCTTGAAATAGGAAGGAGGAAACCTGATGTCTAATGGTCTGACTACACTCTTTTCCTCTCCATCTGGGTTCCTCCTTCTAATGGTTTTATTCCAAAAACTGTCTCAAAAGCTCCTTCACTTCAGATGTTTCCGAGGCATTCCTGGGCTGAATTATGACTCCCTATTGTCTATTCACAAGCAACCACGCACATTTCCCCATTATATTTATTATGCTGTAATTAACCCATGGTCCATCTGTCCACCTCTCACTACCCATTGAATTAGGATCCCTAGGAGGATGAATGTATCAACTCCAATCTCCATCGCTTTGGCTGAGGACCTGGTGCTTAGCAGTGTTTGATGAGCAAATGGTGAGCCAGTCATTTTCTTATGCAGTTTCAGGAAATACTTGGCCTTTGTGGTTGTAAAAACCACTCAGGATTGCCATTTTTCAGGCTGTACCGTAAGAGTTGGTTCAGAACAGGGCAATCAAAGGCATCAACACATTATTAGGTTGGTACAAATAGTCTAGCCACTGTGCTTTGGTAAGCTGTGTTCTGCAGTTAGCTTATGAGGTCTTGGTCTCAAATGTCTGTCATGGTCATCATTAATCTGAATGAAAACACAGAGTTTCTCTCCCTATCCACTACCACCAGTCTCTCTTCATCATGTGGGTGACATGTTAAACAAATTCCAAGGCTCACGTCCAGCTAACTTGAAGAAAAGAGAAGATTCTAGCATTAAGCCGCATAAGTTCCTTAGGAGGAGGTTGACTTAACTCACTACAGGATTGCCACCATGATAAAGTCTGGAATCCTGAAACCTATCTTGGACAGGTCAGACTTGATCTGAGAATCAGGGCAGAGGCAAATGCCCCTATACCCACCATGACTGCAGAGCCGATCTCTCACCCCAGTTTACCTGTGTGAGCAGAGTCCTTTAAGCTAGGCCCAAGCAGAAGTGAGGGCTGATTTGGCCAGCAGGACACTGAACAGTCATTTGAGACTGAAGTTTCAAATCAGTAAATGTAATCGCTGATAAGTATGCAAGTTCTTAAAATCCAATGGAACATGCCTTGCCCGTATGAGAATTTTTTTAGACATGAACTTTATATCAGATAAAAATCTGAATGAGGTAGAGAACCAAGTTCTCTTACTGTGATTATTGAGGAGATTGCTGGCCCATTGAAATATTTCCATTTTGTGTTGGTGGTTATTCATCAACTTGATGGAAATGAGGGTCACATGGGAAGAGGGAACCGCAAATGATGAATTTCCTATGTAAGATTGGCCTGTGGGAAGGAGATTGCTGGCCCATTGAAATATTTCCATTTTGTGTTGGCGGTTATTCATCAACTTGATGGAAATGAGGGTCACATGAGAAGAGGGAACCGCAAATGATGAATTTCCTATGTAAGATTGGCCTGTGGGCAAGTGTGTGGGGGCATTTTCTTTGATTAATGATTGACCAGGAAGGCCCAGACTATGGTGGGTGATGCCACACCCAGGCAGGTGGTCTCTGATTATATGAGAAAGCCAAGTAAGCAGGCCATGGAGAGCAAGCCCTTTTCTGTTTTCTTCCATGATCTCTGCCTCAAACTGCTGCCTTGAGTTCCTGCCCTGACTTCCCTCATTGATGGACTGTGACATGAAAGTATAAGACTTCTTTCTACAAGTTCATTCTGGTCCATGTTTTATCACAGCATCAGAAAGTAACGAGTACACGCATACAGAGAGACTTATGATGACTCAACTTACATTTGATGCTGATGCTCTACAGGATGCTGATATGTTGTTAAACAGTGGTATTTGGTCTCTTAAGGATATTTAACACAATAATTTGGGAGGGCATTGACTCCAGTGTCTTGAGTATGCTAGGTAAGCACTCTGCATAAAACTGTATCCCTAACGCCTCTTATTTCTTAATTTTTAGTCAGGACTGGTCTTGAATTTAAAATTCTATTGCCGTGGCTTCATGAGTAGCTGTGGTTAGAGGCATGTTGTCTAGTATTCCCAGTTCAGAAAGACCACCATGTCTTTGATGAGAAAGGTGCCGGGAAAACTCTGAAACAATGGCATGCTATTTCAGAAGTTTTGGGGAGGAACTGAAGGCAGAAGTTTCTGGAAAACTTTGTATTGTCTGTAAAAGGTCAGTGAGAAGGTTCAAAAAGGTCAGATGAGGGCCTTTGCTTGTTGTCTGGGCTCTGCTGTGACTATAGTCAGTGTCTAAATGTGTAGATGGATGGCTTCTGTGTTGCTTTGAGTTCCTTCACTGCTGGGCACATGCTATATTATTATTTATTTGAGGTAGCCTTGGTTTGGGACTATCTAGTTTTTTAAATTGGTGACGTTCAAATTTCTGATTAAAATCAGTTTCACTAAACATGTGGGGACAAAACCCAAACTTCCCCCATTTTTAGTTGCCACCCTAGACAAGGCAATTTCTTCATTCACCCTTATTATGTACTGACACTTGGAACTTTTATCTAGATCTACCACAGTTTAGATACAGCATCTATACCTCACATGTATTTAAAGTGCACAGTCTAGTAACTCGTAATATAGTCATAATTACTAATCTACCAACAGAATTTAGAACATTTCCATCAGTTCAAAAAGAAACTCTGCTCAGAGCCACTTTCCATTACTCTTTAACCCCATTCACCCTTATCAACCACTCATCTACTTTCTGATCTGTACATTTTACTATTCTGGGAATTTTACATCCCCTTAGGATGATGCTGTTGGGATTCTCCCATGTATTACTGTATATATCAGTACTTAGTTCCTTTCTTTGCTGAGTAATATTCCATTTATGATAGACCACTTTTTGTGCATCCTTCAGCCACTGGATATTTGTGTTGTTTCCACCTTTGAACTCTTAAGAACAATGGTGGGGTGTTTATTTGTTTTGAGACAGGGTTTCTCTTTGTAGTCTTGGCTGTCCTAGAACTCACCCTATAGACGCTGCTGGCCTCAAATTTAGAGGTCTACCTGCCTCTGCCTCCTGAGTATTGGGATTAAAGGCATGGACCACCACTGCCAACTAGTTGTTGTATATCCTGTGTATAATACTGTTGTGAATGTTGGCATTTAAATTTTCTGTTTTCATTTCTCATGGTGGTATAGCTACTGTTGGGATTTTGGTATATATAGAAAATACACGCTAAACTTCCTGAGAAACTGCCAGATTGTTTCAGAGAGAACTGTACCATTCATGTCCTTACCAATGGTGTGTGTGTGTGCGTGTGCATGTGCGTGTGCATGTGTGTGTGTGTGTGTGTGTGTGCATGTGTGTTGTATGCGTGCACGCCTGCATGTGTGTGTGTGTATGCGTGTGCGCGTGTGCGTGTGTAGAGAGACAGACACACAAGAGACAGACAGAGAGAGAGAGAGAGAGAGAGAGAGAGAGAGAGAGAGAGAGAGAGATTCTCTATCATCTAGCATCACTTGTGACTGACAGTCCAGTGCTCTGTTCTGGTCATCCTCATGGTTGTGAAGAGACATATCATTATGGTTTGCTTTACATTTCTCTGATGACTCATAGACTATAATAGACTATTCACCCCTACACAGTGTTTTCCTTTACTATTCAAATGTTAAGTAAAAACAATGCTCTAGGAAATTAGGGGCACAGTTCATACTCCTGCTGTCCCTTTCTGTGGCATTCCATATTTCACCAGGCCCTGGTACAAGGGCCAGCAGGAGCATGAATGCATGCCATGCACTTATTTCTTCCTCATGCTGAGTCCTAGGAAGGTGACCTGATGGGCCCACCTTGGTTTATGTGTATACCACTTGGTCCATATTGCTTCCTAAGCAGTGCACAGATGAGTAGGGAATATTGAAAGATAACAGGGTGCTTTTGTCGGGGGAGAAGTGATGACCACATTTAGCAATCTCCTGCCCATCTCTGTGCTTCACATGGAAGGCTGGGGCACAATGATGATGCCCTGTACATTGTCATGATGGAAATATAAGTTTTATTTTATTTTTTATATCTCTATAGTACACAGAAGCATTGTGTTTTAAATATACAACCTATTTGATCCTTAGTAATTTATTAGTTTCTAGTTGTATCCATTAATGATTCTGATTTCATATGTTTTGACCTGATTTGCTATGAGTACATTTTTTGGGAACTTGTCTGAGAAGTCAGCTACCATCAAATGACATGATGAGAAAATGTCTGTGAGCTCCAGTAACCTAGCAAATGAGTGTCCTCCATGTCATTGTTCAGGGTTTGGGCCCACAGGTATGAACAGATGATGAAGAGCAGCTTTCTCTCATGTAAACAGTTCCAAGTCACCAGGGCTGTGAGCTAATGAAGCCATGCCAATGTAGATGTGCAGGGGGGCGCTGTAGTGGAAGCTGTTGAAGAAACAATGCTGGGGATTCTGGGTCTCACTGAAGGTGCTTGCAAGGAAGTGGCTGTTTTCATCCAATAGTCTCTAATGCACACTGCTTTAGTATCAGCCAAGGCAAAGGCCGCAGCTGCTTGCATGGAAAGTGGCAGGGTTAAAATGGCAGGTGAGAATAGCCAGAAGCTAGACATGCTCACACAGAGGCAGATCCTCTGGAAGGCCAGGAGCCAGAAGCTTAGGTTATTTATACTGCACCTCAGGGCCTTTCTGCCTTCAGTCTTCAAACAGAGGCTGGTGGCCCTGATTGCAGGTATTCTGGCCCCTGTGAATTGCTGTAGGGTACATTTAGCACCCAAAAAACACAGCATCCACTAACAAACTGCTATGTGTACTTTGGTCACAATGCAAAGATTGCATTGTCATTTTTGCAGGTCTTTTTTTTTTAAAAAAAAAATAATAATTTAGATTTTTCTATTTTAATTCAAGGTATTCATCATCGGAAATAAGAAAGCAGTTTACACTCCCACCCAACCTCGGACAGTACCACCGGCACAGCATTAGTGCATCCGGCTTCCCCACCCTTCAGCTAGTAAGTATGTGTGACAGATTTTGACCAGTGGTCAGGGGCAGAAGCGCCCAGCATCCAAACTCCCGCCCCCAACTAGCCTTAGCTCATTTTTTACCCAGCATTCTCTGCCCATCGCTCTTTGACTCTGCCTGCCTCTAGACATCAGACATCAGACATCTCCCTTTGCCAAACAGGATGTGCGTAGAATGACACAGCCCAAGACTGTGGCTCTGATGTTCTCTACTTAGGGGACTTTTAGGCTACTCAAACCCATCCCAATCATAGCTCATATAGCATGCTTTTGTTGGAAATACTTAATTGACAGACCTCAAAAGCCCAAGTTACACATCTTTCTTAAGAAATAATTTTCTTGGAAGTGAAATTTGCATACTATGAAATTTATCAATGTTAGGATCATGGTTAGGTGAATCTGGGCATTTTATTAGTCATTTAACCTCTACTCGCTCAAGGTCTAGAGCATTCCCCCCATCACCCTTTTGCATCCCCTTGAGCCCATCCCAGACAGTCACTGGTCCTTGCTGTGGTTATAGTTGGCTCTGCCTGGAACTTCACACCAGTGAAATCTATCACACAGGAGAACGAATCTTTAGTTTTAAAACATACCATTTTCCCCTTGCAAGGTGCCAACTGGGGAGTGCATATGTGTGTCATATTATTTATAGACTGAAGGCCAGATGTGTGCTGGGTGAAGCAAAACTGTCTCAACCGAGACGGTTTGTAACCCGGAGTGGTGCCACTTCCTTTAAGCTAGCTGAGCCTGCTTTACCTTCACTTCCTCACACAGCACAGCCCACAGCCACACTCTCTGGCTGATCTAGTGGTTATCTTGAGAAGGTTAGGTTATTTTTTTGTTTCTAGTTATTACTTCAAAACCACTTCTGCTCTTAGAAATTTTGTAACCTTCCCCGGTTTCCTGTATGCGCCATTTTGTCGCCTGTAACAGTTTACCAGCCGCGTTAACTGTGTGTCTTCAGGTATGTTTACTGGAGTGATCCGTGGTTATTTCAGAAGGATAGTTTATGTGCTGTGTCATTAGTGAAGCAGTGCTAGCAAATATATAGCACCTTCACTATGAGAGGTTACCTTGTGATGACATCTTTTTGAAAACCCTGTTTGTGACTTTGGAGCCTTGCTAGGCCACCCTTTTTATTCGTATTTTCCTGTCGGCTCAAAACTTCAGGCTAGGGTAAAAAACACAAGTGTAAGGTGTCTGTGTTCTTGAAGTAAACTGGGATATGTTACATATAAGCCTAACTGGGTGATAAATGTGTGATTTCTGATTCATGTTGTATTTCAAAGTTTGCAAAACTTTTGTTGAAAAGTGATTTGATATGCTTTTAAATTTTAAACAATGTGGGGAACTTTGGTGATTGCCTTTAAAAAATATTAAGACTAGAGTTCTCTCTAGCAGCTGCTGGAGAAATAGTGTGGACACAGTAAAGAGGATTTTAAGGAAGTTTGTAGGTTTAACCCCTTGTCCCCTTAGCCTTTGTGATAACACTGTAGCCTTGCATTATTGCAGAAGAAATCCATGTTAAATGGAAAGTTACCAAGGAAAACAATGTAATGTTTGCAAGTATACTTTCAGTAGTTTGCTCTCTCCTTAGAAGGTTTTGACAAAAGTAAATTTTGATGAGTTATTCAGTAGCTGGGAAGCCAAATTAACATGTTAGCTGCCCATGGAAAGGTTAACATGTTACAATAATCACTTCTCCAGTTGCTGTCTATCATCCAATCCTGGTCCTATTTGTTCTTCACATGTTCTTATTCCCTCTTGTTACAATGTAGTTTCCTCAGTGGTTCCCGGAGCTCCCCGCTCCAGTTTCAGCACAGACTTACCCTGTTTCTTCTACTGTGGGAGTCAAGTTGCCTGATCTACCTTCTAAAACCCTGTGCTATGTTTTCAAAACCACAGCTCCCTGGCATCATCTGCTTTCAGGCAATGTGTGACTGTGCCTCCCCTGTAGTCATCTTCTCAGACAAGGCTCCCAGGAGAAATCACCAGACTACAAGGTGATTTTCCTTTACCTCAAGAATATTTCATTTCCTAGAAAAATAGTGGAACATTTCAGTAAGAGTCACTTTTAGCAAGGCAGAGGAATGAATGGCTTATCACTCAAGCCTCCAGAGCCTTAGAAACAATATTAAATCAGAGGCTGAAAAGACTGCTTGGGCATCATTTTGGCTAACTAAAAACCAAGACCAAACGCATCTTCACCATTCTTTCTTTTTTCTTTTTCTTTTTTTTTGTTGTTTTTGTTTTTTGAAGCAGGGTTTCTCTGTGGCTTTGGAGGCTGTCCTGGAACTAGCTCTTGTAGACCAGGCTGGTCTTGCACTCACAGAGATCTGCCTGCCTCTGCTTCCCAAGTGCTGGGACTAAAGACATGCGCCACCACCGCCCAGCTTGACCATTTCTTTTGCTTTTAGTAATATGATAATTTTCATAACCTCATATGTTGATACAAATGATTGATTAAGAGATATATTTAAATAAAGTTCAGTCGTTGCTGTTGGCAAGAGTAGAGTTTGGGGTCAGATGAACCTAAGGAGGAAGGTGGTTGTCACTGGCTGTGTAACTTGGGACAAGTCACTTAACCTGTCTGAAGATTTCAGTTCCTTTTTCTGCAAAAATAGGCAGCTTATGTTACCTCCATAGTATCAATGTAGGGTTCTATAGTAGAGCCTGTGTGAATAGCGGGCAGTGTTGTTTGCTTTGGGTACTTGGCACTATAGAGACGCTGTCGAACATTAAAAGGTAAGTAGGAAATGACCTCTCTCTATGAGGCTTTGTGATTTATTTGGGAAGACAAGTCATACAGGGAGGAGGTTTCTTTTGTTGCCCTGCATGCTCTGAGTGGTAGATGTGTAGTAAGCAGGGACCACATGCTATCCCTGGAGGTAATCCTTACAAAATACAGCTCTCGTCATAGATCTAAAAATGAGTGGGAGGCAGTACATTATATTGTCTCCTTTTGTTTTATTCAGTTTTTTTTAATGCTAGCTATAAATGCCTGCTATGATGACTGTGTGTACAAATATTTTCAAAATAGATAAGATACTTTTTAGAAAATTACATCAATTTTGTGTGTATGCATGAACAGATGTGCTACGCATGCCAGTAGAAGTTAGAGTTCAGTTTGCAAGAGCTTGTCCTCTCCTTCTGCTACATGGATCTGGCGGTTGAACTTAGGTTATCAGGCTTGAGGGCAGCACCTTTACCCACTGAACCATCTCAACAACCCAATAAACTACTTTTACCTCTTGCATGTTTTAATATGGAAGGAGAGCTATCATTTAGAATGAGATTTTTCAGACATGGTGGTGGACTGGGTCTGCCTAACACTCCTGTCAGGGGCCTTTGAGGACAGAGATGGGCCTCTGGTCATCCCATGTCCTGGCCTGAGATGCCCACCAGCTGTGGCATTCTCTGCTGCCATTGTCCTGGGAGCAAATTAACCAGAGATCTGGTGTCAGCCATTTCTGTAAGCAAACTGTAAAAGGTAAAACCCTTTCTCTGGTTATTAAAAGTAGAAGGTATAGCAAGTACATAGAAGAAAGGTTTGGGAATCTGTGCTCTAAGGGGTACTGAAGACCTGTGTGGTGGTTTATAACCTTAAGTACATTTTCTGGAGGAAGACACACTATTTTAAAAAATAATACAAGAAAAGTCTGAAGTGAAAGGAAAGGAGCAGCCAGGACCTGACGGCTCTGCACAAAGTAAAGGACGTAAAAAACCACACCCTGGGCATGCACCCGAGCACCACGGCCACAGGATGTGTTTGTATGTCTAACATTCATGTTTTAAGGAGGCCTCATGCCTGAGAAACATTCCTTCCTATATGCACATTGGCTTCTGTGAAACACAGCACCCTTTTTCTTTGCAAGCTAAGGATGACTTGAGTGCCGACTTCTTAACTCTGAGCCTCCTTTGTGCCTCTGAGTTCTGTTGTTCTCTTTTACTCAGTTTTTTCCAGAGTTAGCCGCTCTGTGTTGTTGATTGTACTGGAGGGACATGATGGAAAATGAAGTACTCCGTGTAGTTTCCATGCGCATTCACAGTGGAGAACAAAGTACAAGCATTCTGCACACACAGCAGGCACTTTGTTATGGTCACTGCAAACAGGGATCAAAACAGGCCAGGGAGATGGCCCTCTGTGTACAGTGCTTAACACTGAAGCATTGAGGATCTGAGTTCAATTCCCCAGAACCCACTTAAAAAGCCAGGTGTGGTAGCACCTACTTACAGTTCTACTGCTGGGAAGGTAGAGACAGGAGCATTCTTGGGGCTCACTGGCAAACCAGCCCTATGTCCCAGTGAGAGCCCCTGCCTCCAAAACCAAGATAGATGGTTTCTGAGGAAAGTCTCACTTGACCTCTGGCCTTCACATGTGTGTATACCAACTTGTGCATGTGCACACACATATACGATTTATTTAAAGAAAACCAGATTAATGGTCATGATGCCGTCTCAGCATCTACAGTGGCATCAGAGGAAGATTTCCGTTGGCAGGAAAGCAAGCTTCTTTTAGGTCACAAAGTACTTTGAAATCACTGAAGGCAGAGGAAACATTCTGCCTTTAGCTTTGTTTGCTAAATGTAGAATGGTGACAATATTTTTTCATCCATTAAGGAAATGTTTGTTGGTTCTTACTCTGTACCAGGAACTGCTTTAAGAGCTATGGATAACAGCATCAATGCAACAAAGAACCCATCCTTTGTTCTTGTGGAACATTTTAGGATAGGAGGTGGGTGTAAACAAATAAGTGGATGTCAGCTGTGATGAAGGCAGGAGGGGTTATGAAGAATGAAACAAGGAAGGGGAATAGTGATACAGATGAGATGGTATTTTGGTTGGGGTGGTCTGCCTGGAACTCTGAGTAATTGCCAGATCATAGGGCATATCATTGTCTGTTCCTGATCTTTGGACCATCTGTCATTTAACAGGTACTGAGTTTTCACCTTTTATAGCTTTGAGTTTCAGGAACATGGCGAGTGTTTTATTTTAGCTAGACTGGACTCTCTTTTTTTTTTCTCTGACAGTTGCACATAGATACATTTTTCTAAGAGGCTTCTACTTTCCAGTGCTTAATGCTTGTTCACTAGGCATAACTATGATTCACAATGCTTTTTAAGTGCATTTCGTTACTTATGTTTGAGTTGCTCATAATACACTTATGCCTGCCATTCATTTATTTACTATAATATCTGAGCATTCAATCCCATGAGAAGTTCTGAGCAGAATTTGTGAATAGTTGTAAATGCATTTTTACCTATTGTGATGCACACTTAACTATTTGCCTTGTGTTTTAGTTATCTTACAAAATACTGATTCTCTGGAAGGCCTATAAGAGAAAACAATTGAAATTATAGTTGTTAAGAGCACAGCCTGACTATGTTTGGATTCCAAACATGCTACTTTCTAGCCGTGTCATCAAGGCAAATTATTAAATCATCTGAAAATGAGGATAATTAGCATGTTATTGCACTGGGTTCTAGTGAGCATGATTGGGAACGGCCCTTCATGAGTATTGTGGTCCCTTCCTCAGCTGCCTTCAGGTCAGAATCAGGGGGAGACCTTCCTGTCTTCTTGCTACCTGATGATTGTGGGGAGCTGTTTGCACTCAGCTACTGAGCTCTATCCTATAACCCTCACCTCTGTCTCCATTTCATCCTGATGACAGTGAGCACTGTATAACTCAACCATCTTAAAGAATCTGGGCGGGAAGTAGGGTAGCATATTTAGTCAGGGTTCCTTAGAGGAGCAGAATTGATGGACTGAGTATCCATATACTAAAAGGAGGTTATTAAATCCTTTATAGGCTGTGTTCTGGCTAGTACAACAATGGATGTCTTTTGACAGAAAGGCCAAGTATCCAGCAGTTGTTCAGCCCACAAGGCTGGATTCTCATCTGGTCTTTGGTATTTATTGGAATCCCAAAGAAGTAGGTTCCAATACCAGGAAAGGAATGCTTCATCAGTAGAATAGGCGAACTTGCTGGAAGCAAGCAGGTACAAAGGAAAATCTTCCTTCTTCCATGCCCTCGTATGTGGACTGCCACTGGAAGGTGTGGCCCAGATCTAGGGTGGGTCATATGACATCAGAGGATCTGGATTTAAGGTGTGTCTTCCTGTCTCAAAGGATTCCACCAAGAAAAACCCCTCACAGGTATGCCCAACTGTTTTGAGTTTTAGCTGGTTACAGATGCAGTCAAGTTGACAACTAAGAATAGCCATCCCAGGCAGCTTTGTCTTCTTTCTCCAGTGTAAGTTATTCCTGTCTCCATTACTACCAGGGCAGAAGAGGTGGGAAAGGAATGGTGAAAGCCATGCTTACATTCTGGGATCTTTTTGCCCTTTGCCTCTCTCACTGCACTATCCCTCCACCCCAGCTGGAAGCCTGCTGGTATTTAGACTCAAGGGGATGAAAAACCAGTTTTGTCAGCCCTTCCTTCAGGCCTGCCCTCCCATAGCATAAGTCAGGAATCTGGGGCTTTTGTTCTGTGGTGTTTGGGGGTAGAGGAGAACAGTGTTCACTTGGACTAGAGACTACACTGTCTTCCATAAAGGGACACTTCAGAGAGTTGCAGCCTCTGCTGTGTTGTTATTGTTATTGTTATTCTTGTGCCAATCTCCTTGATCTAAGTGTCTCTCAATGCCTTCAGGCAGTGGTTCCTGGATCTTTGCATGCCATAGGCTAGAAAACGTATTTTGCTAGTAGGAAACTGACAAAATGTTGCCAATTCTTGATACTACCAACTAAAGAGCAGCATTGTTTCAGTTGCCCTGAGTTTCTAACCTCTCTTGTCTTCTCTCTCCCCCTCCGTGGGAGGATGAAATGAAGACAGGACAGCTCTTCTCAGCAGACACCCAGGGTTTGCTCACCAGCTTCAGTCCCCTGAGTTTCTTCCTAACCAGTAGTGTTTGGAAGTCTCAACCCTAGAGCCGCAAGCCTGGCTCCATGTCAACTGGGATTGCGTCTAAAGTGCTGGCTTTGAGCAGCAGTATATAGAGGGTTCCCTTCTCAGGCCAAGGGAAACACTGTGTCTGAGTACGCAGCCAGAGGAGTGCTGTGTTTGCCTGGGTTTCTGGAAAATTGCCTTCTTTCTCTTTTTCACTGTGTTTGGGTAAACAGAAAATGGCCCTAGAGAGCTTTTGCAGGAGAAAAGATGGAAATTCCTCAAAGCCTGTGATCTCATTTTGGATCTCCTCAGGATTCCTCATCAAGCTGCAATTAAGCAGAGAAAAATTCTGCCTTAGGGTGTGATTTTACTTACTCATCATGTTGTGACTTGACTCTCTGCTACTGCCTTTCTTCCCCACTCTTGTCACCACTGCAGTTTGACAGCTTCTCCAGCATTTAGGTAAAAGTGAAACGCTGAGTTGAAGGGGAGGGCAGGGCAGATATCCACCGCTGCTGCGCGCCTGCTGTCTGTCTGTGTACGCCACCAGGAAGCCCGGTGGAAACGGCCCTCTTCTCACCCTCTCCCTCCAGCCTCTGCTGTATGAGCCTGTGGAGCCAGTGGACTTTGAAGGACTTGTGATGACACACTTAGACAGCTTGGATGCGGAGCTGGCCCAGGAGCTGGGGGACCTCACCGATGACGACTTGCATGTGGCGTTCACACCCAAGGAATGTAGGACTTTGCAGCCCTCTCTGCCAGAGGAAGGGTAAATTACATTATTAAAATATGAGAAGGGAAGGGTGTTGATTCTGAACCTCTTTTTCTTTCTTATTACTTGAGATAGAGTCTCACTGTATAGTCTAAGCTGAACTAAAATTAGCACTCCTCCG